GTTGAGGCAGGACCTAACAAGCATGAGGGGAATGCAGGGAGTTGGTGAACATTTCCTCCCCCAGTGAAGCTCTCAGCATCTTAGAAAGCTGGCTAGCATACTCCAGATAAACCCAGACATTTTGGGAAGGTTTTTGATTACTGATGGAATCTCCTTACTATTACTTGGCCTCTTCAGATTTTCTATTTATTCATAATTCAGTCCTCATAGGTGTTATGTTTCTAGCATTTTCATAATTTATTTTACCTTATCCAATTTGTTGAAATATAATGTGCATAGTAGTCTCTTATGACCCTTTATATTTCTGTGGTATCAGTTGTAATGTCCCATCTTTCATTTCTGATTTGTGACTTTTTTCTTGATAACTCAAGCTAAAGGATTGTCTATTTTGTTTATCTTTAAAAAAAAACAGCTCTTAGTTTCATTGACCTTTTGTATTGTCACTTTGGACTCTATTTCATTTATTTCTGCTCTGACCTTTATCATCTCCTTCCTTCTACAGACTTTTGTGATTAGCTTTGTCCTCTTTTTCTAGTCCCTTGAGGCAGAAAGATAGGTTGTTTATTTGAGATATTTCTTGTTTTTCAATGTGGGCATTTGCCATTTGAACTTCCCTTTAGAATAAGTCAATCAGAGAAGGACAAACGTTATATGGTCTCATTCATTTTGGGGAATATAAAAAAATAGTGAAAGGGAATAAAGGGGAAAGGAGAAAAAATGAGTGGGAAATATCAGAAAGGAGACAGAACATGAGAGACTCCTAACTCTGGGAAACGAACTAGGGGTGGTAGAAAGGGAGGTGGGCAGGGGGTGGGGGTGACTGGGTGGCGGGCACTGAGGGGGGCACTTGACAGGATGAGCACTGGGTGTTATTCTGTATGTTGGCAAATTGAACACCAATAAAAAATAAATTTATAAAACAAAAACAAAAACAAAAAAAACCCACAAAAATTATGAGATGTAGCAAAAGTACTTTTATTTTTTTAAATAAATTTATTTTTTGCTGATAATGCTGCTATAAACACTGGGGTGCATGTATTCCTTAAAATTACTATTTTTGTATCCTTTAGGTAAATACCTCATATTGCAATTTCTGGATTATAGAGTAGTTCTAGTTTTAATTTTTTGAGAAATCTCCATACTGTTTTCCAAAGTGTCTGCACCAGTTTGCATTTCCATGATTGGTAACTTTTTATATTTTCTCTTTGTTGAAGCTTTCATTGTGTTCATCCATTCTTCTCCTAAATACAGTAAGTATCTTTAGGACCATTATTTTGAAGTCTTTATTAAGTAGGTTGCTTATCACTGTTTTATTTAGTTCTTTTCTGGGTTTTTTATTGTTTTATCATTTGGAACATTTTCCTATTTCCTCATTTTGCCCAGCTCTCTATTTCCATTTATTAGGTAGTTTAGTTATGTATCCCCATGGTAAAAATAGCTTGGTACAGGAGATGTCTTAACAGGACTCAGAAGTGCAATCACCCTTGGCCACTAGATCCAGGCATTGAAGGGGTGTTTCCTGCATGTGCTACCTGTACTCTCCTGGTGGGTGGGAGGTGGCCTCAGGCCTAGCTGGTTGCCATGCCTGATTGAATCTTTGGGGGCACACTTGTGGGTGGGAGGGGGGTGGCTCCCAGTTATAGCTACTTTTGGGACTTTGATGGGCAAAGCTGTCAACCTGTTGACTTTGAGGCCCAGACAAGGTGTAGGGGTATGTAGAACTCTCAGTAGAGCATGCTTCTAGCATTAACAGTCTAGAGGGAGAACTAAAAATGGTGACCACCAGCGCTGGGATCAGCATGGTAGTATTAGATAGCAAAAACTGTTGCTATCAACACCTCAGTCCCTGGTGTTAGGTCCAGGCTCCTCTTGGGTCTCTGGCAGGCATTTGAAGATTAATGACTCTCCTTAACCTATGCTCTACACACTCTCTGATCTGGTGTTTTTGCCCTGGCTTCTGGGTTGAGTATGTGCACAGGCTTTTTAAGAGTGGGTTTTCCTTTCCTTACAGTTCTGTAGTTTGCCAAGACCAACCCGCCATTCATTTTCAAAGCCTGTGTTTTAGGGGCTCATCTCTCCTATACAGGACCTAAGGGCTATGGTACCTAATGTGGAGCATGAATTTTTGCTCCTCAGGGAAAAGTTCTGTACCTTTGAGATTCTTCCCAACCATGTAACTCCAAGCCTGGGGTATTTTGTGCTGTTGTTTTTTAAACTTGGTGAAACCATCTCTCCCTTTTATTTGTCTTTTTTTAATTTAAATTCAATCTGCCAACATATAGTATAACATCTCTCCCTCTTCTACCTGTGTTATCCTTTGTTGTGGAGGTTCTGTTCATCCAATTTCCAGGTCACCTTCAGAGGGAGTTTTTCCACATTTAAGTGTGGACCTAATGGGTCAATGGGATGATGTGAGATCAGGATCTCCCTACACCACCATCTTGAGCCCCCTCCTCTGGGCAATTTTTAAAGTATCAAAATGGACCCCATTCTGGGAAATACTAGATGTTCATTTTCTCTGCTGATCCTGAAGTGACAGCTGGATTAAGTAGGTCTGTGCTCATTAGCAATTGCCTTTTTGTTTGTTACAGTCTTGTAGGACTTGCAAACACAAATCCCACTGACTTTCAGAGTTAGGTGTTTTGAGGGCTAGTCCTGAAGTAGAAGTCTTAAAAGTTGGGGCTGTAGATGTCACATCCCAAGCCTTCTCTCAAGGAAAAGCCAGTATTTGGAGATTTCCTTCTGATTGTATAGCGCTGTACAGTGGGTGGGCACCATTTATGGCAAGAGCATGTCTAAGCCTTTTCTACTCATTTTGAGGTCCTTTTAGTTGTCTCAGCATGGAAGATTTGCGTGGCTAATTTCAGGGTTTTTTTCAGAGGGAATTATTCCATGTGTCACTGTGTCTATGGGAACGGGGGTTTAGGAGCCTTCTATGTTACCATTTTTTTAAAGATTTTATTTATTCATGATAGAGAGAGAGAGAGAGAGGCAGAAGCAGGCTCCATGCAGAGAGCCTGACGTGTGACCCGATCCCAGGTCTCCAGGGTCACACCCTTGGGGCTGAAGGCAGCACTAAACTGCTGAGCCACCTGGGCTGCCCTATGTTACCATCTTTAAAGCTGCCTCAATACTTTCTTTTTCTAAACTTTTTTTAAATAATTTATTTATTTATTCATGAGAGACACAGAGAGGCAGAGACCTAGGCAGAGGCAGAAGCAGGCTCCATGCAGGAAGCCTGATGTGGGACTTGATCTCGGAACTCCAGGATCACACCCTGGGCCGAAGGCAGGCGCTAAACCACCGAGCCACCCAGGGATCCCAATACTTTCTAAACTATGTGTGTTTGAGGGTTTTTTTCCCCCTTATGATGGGGAGAGTGGAGCATGGCCGGATTATGGGAGCAGGAGTCCTGAGGAAAATATTTATGATAAAAAGAAAATATTGTGGGGAGCTAGGTTTTAAGAGGTGCAATATGAACTCAAGATAACAGGAACAGGCTTGACCCTGGATGTGGTCAATAGGGATGTGCCTGCCTTGAAGGTGGAAGAGAGGAGAGGATGACAGAACCACACAGCGTCAGGGATATTCAAGGAAGTTGAGAAAACATTTCTGAGTGCACTGTGTTTTCTTGGTAAATTTGGAGGAACAACTACTAATTTTGAGAAAAAGGGAGGTGGCTCAGTGTTAAGGAACATAAAGAACTGGAGATGCGGTGACTGGAAAGAGGGATAGAATTTAAGATAAAGATTGGTAGGAAAATTATATGGAATCCCACCAATACACTCTCATTTCTGACATGCATTGGGCCTTTGTGGTGAGTATTAGAAACAAAAATTATTCTTGTAATAGCTATTGAGGACAGAGGGTCAGGAACCAAGCTAAGCATTTAAATGAACTATTTTATTCAATCTTCTGGACAGCCTTTGAGGTAGAAGTATTTATTATCCTCCTTGTACAGGAGCCAGTATAAAGAGAGGAATCAAGATGGCGCTGAATCCTTGATTGGCCACCTATACTACTTGTATACTACTTGTGTCCACTGGGCAATTTATTTAATCTCTTGAAATTCCAGATTCCTCAAGCATGGGGAACAGGGTCACTATTAGAAATAGTAAATGAGACTATGGATAAAAGAGCTTAATACATGCTGGGTACTTGATTCTTTAAAACCATTTTAGAATATGGACTGTTACTGAACTAACAATTTGATTCAAGTCACTGATTTGAGTTTATGTTTTCTCTCCCCTAAGAGAGATGGAGTGTTGCACCACAGATGTGAGAATACCTGTTAACTTCTGTTATCAGGCAGGTACCAGGAAAAGTGTGACATAGGCTGGCCTCAAAAAATATTCTTGCAACAGTGGTCTGGAGTCCAAGAAGGGCATTCACATTCAACCACACTGTGGAGGCCTAAGGAACTACCCCCACACTAGTTGTGGCTCTGTGGCTTCTGTAGTTGAAGGCTTCTAGATGCTGTCTGCTTCTCTTTTGTGATTTGGTGTCTGATGAGGCCAAATGACTTTTCCAAAGTAGAACTCTTGGTCTGCATCTCAGAGATAATGCTACAACAGGTTGGTTAAGCATATCAATTTTGCTGTACTTCTTGGGTTCTTTTCACATAAATTCCTACTAGTAAAATAAACAAGTTGCAAGGGCTACAGTGAGATGACAGTGCAGCAGACAACAGGGACCTGGGGACTTCTCTTTGGCAATAGATTCAAATGTATTTTTGTAGACATTGATAAATGAAGCTTCTTGTCCCCTGTGAGGAACAGGCCTGGATACCATTGCTTTTCTGCAGGTGTGTGGAGAGGTGGGAACCCTGGGAAAGAGAGGGTCAAACCATATCCTCAGGGTAACATCAAAGGAGCTCTGATCTCAGTCTCCTATAGGCCTCAGGTGTGACTCACAGATGCTTCCCCAAACGATTTTTAAAGTGCTTTTCCAGGCCAAAGCTGGAATCTCCCTGACCCAAAAGAAATACACATGCCTTACCATTGTGGCTGAAATACTGCTCGTATTTATTAAAAAGGTAGAACATAATGCATCTGTAGGGATCCAGGTTCCACAGTTCTCAAAGCACTAGCTGTAAATCACCTTTAGGTTTGTCATTCCCTTGGGTGGAAGCAAAAGTGCTTTAATGAAATGGCCCCAGAAAGAATAAACTATTGTACCATACTATGAAGGATGCTGCTAATAAAGGAGCAGGAGAATGTTGGAAAATGAAGCAAAAGCTGCCATTCTATCTAGTTCAGAGTGCAGACATCTCCCCTTATATCTCCCCTTAGCGGCAGCCCCAAGTAACACAGATCCACCCTCCCAACCAGCTGCCAGAGCAAGAATGTGGTTTTCCTAAAGGCAGTGGAAGGGAAATCTGACAGTATGATAGCCATTTCCAATGGAGAGGACAACACTGTCAGGTGCTGCAGTGCCTGGGGTGGTCTAGGGGGAGACTTCCCGATGAAGAACCTGCAGGTTCCATCTGGAACAGCACAGAAGAGAGACTTGTAGATTTCGAGGTCCATCAGAAGACAATTGTGGGAGGATCACCTGCCTTCTTAATGACAACTGGGACTGGATCAAATGTACCTAAATTAAGGGCTCAGATGTTCTATATAGTGGATACTCTTTGTACTTGTAGTACCGTCTTTAAAGGTTTCTTTCCAAACAGGGTGAAGTGCTCTGAGGTCATGTACAAAATCTGACACACTGACAAGTGGACTCATGTGCAAACATTATTCCCAGGATTGGAAAGTGTTTGCATTCAGAAGCAAGAGTTTGGAATGCCTGGAACCGTGTCTGGCATTTCCACCATAGGCATCTTTGCCACAAGTATTTTCACTGCATAACTCATTGGCCAGAAGGCAATTTGGCCATTGAGGGGCCAAATAAAATAACAAAATATAAAAGAGGGACCTTAATATTATTTCTTCATTTTGTCCTTTTTAAGAGAAGTATCAATTTTCCAAATACTGGGATGCATATTTTAACTGGGTTTTGTATTTCATTATGAAAGCCTTCTACATTGTTATTCCATCTTTAGCATAATGAGCATGTCTGTCCATAGACATTCAAAAGTTCTATGGGACATGCAAAAGAAAAACTATAATGCATTTCTGAGTTATTACAATTGATAAACTACTACTCTGTATTACAGTATGGTATGCAATCTGGCCTTTATACTCTTATTTCACACTTCTAGTTAGTTACTGTATTTTCTATCAAGTTGATATATGGAGTTGTTATCCACTATTTTAAGACCACCCTGTATACTGGTCATAAACTTTTAAGAGGCCTAAGATTCATGTAATTGTAAAAATGGGAACTTAGTTTGGTTTCATTTCTCTGTTGACAGTTATTTTATCTCTGACAACAACATTGCCTTTCACCCAATTAAGTGGTGAAAAATGTTTGCATCAAGACTCTGTAGAACTGTGTGAAACAAGATCTTTGGATGCCTGGATGGGAATGAGGCAACATCACTTGATTCCAATAGGTAAGAAGGTGTCTTTGCGGAACAGAAGTTAATAGTGTACTGGGTCAACTCACCTCAAATTCAGAGCAGTTGAGTTAATGAGCAAACCGTAAATTTGCATTTAGCAATGGCAGAGATATTGCACAGGCTCCTTCCAGCTCAGGAACATGGTTTGATAAACCACGACCAGTCCCCAATGGCAGTTCCCCTTTATATTAAAGTGGCCCACAGATATCCACTTTAACTCTGGGTAACTGGTGCTGGAAATCAGGAATAATTCATCTTATTCAATTGTCTGCTGCTACTCCCTACCCCCAACTCAAAGCACTACGTGTTATGAGCTATGCTTCAGCTGTGAAGAAATGCTGGTTAGAGTAGGGACACCATGCATGTGTTTATTTACAGACATCCTTGGGTGCTTTGCAAGGCCTCCATCCTCCTTCTGAAAAATGTGACGAGGCACCAGAAGGTTCCAGGACTTGCTGCTCAGAACTAATGGTAGTCCTGGAGCTCAGAGCTGGAGATCACACTGCCTCTCTTCTGAAATAAGGCTCAACCCCTTGATTCTTATACATCTAGAGATTCTAAAATATTCTTTCCACAGTAAGTACACTTTCCTGTGTGCTCCTGAAAGCTGAGGACAGGCCCTCAGCAAGCACATGATATTCCAGGATCCTGCCTCTGGATTTACAAGCAGGGAAGGGTAGGAGCCGAGCAACTAAGAAAATAGCAAGACGTGCCCCTTAAAGTAGCTAGACACTACCAAATGCATATTAAAAATATCATCCACAATATTTTTTTACCTAAGTGCACATTAAAACCTATCATCACTTTACATTCCCTGGCAAGAGGCAACATGTTTCAGCAGAGCCAGGCAAGGCCACTACTCAGTCTCTGCTACCCCCGCAGGTAGGTGGCACCCGGTGGCTCCTGCCCCAGGGCATTAATGTGTGGGATGGCACCTGCTGCAGCTGCTAACTTCTCGCTGAGCTTCTGGTTCACCAGCTCCAGGTGGCGACCATTCTTCCGTGCCTGCCTCAAGGACCTCTTGACTTTCTTCACCCGATCCCGAAGCTGCTTGTTACGCTTCTCCAGGGTGGCTACCTTCTGCTGCAGTTTCTTGACATGGTCCTCCTCCTCAAACAGAGCCTTCTGTACTGATGAACACATGAGCTGGGGAAAGAAATGCCATGGGAGAGGCAGGTGAGTTGCTCTAGGGCGGTTTTGTGAAATTTCCCTGGGTGCTGCCAAGCACCCAACACCACAGACTCTGACTTAGCCAATGGCTCCAACCCCAGGATGAGGACAACCCTCAAGGCCTTTTCTTGGTTTCACCCTGTGAACCCTGCCCTAATAGCAAATATAAAGTACCCTCTTTGGGGTACCTTTGATAATTTAATTTTTCAAAGCTGTTGCATGGTTTGTCTTTTTACATGCTTACCAACTTGTATACTATTAATTCCCTGAAGGGGTTGGTGACTTTCCACTTTTTGATTCAGCAATTTTTTGCCTGTTAAATTCTAATCTGGGTTTAAAACATTTTCCAGAAAAGCCAAAATTTGAGGATCAGCCACAAAGGGCCTTCAGGGTATTTCTACTTAACAGGCTTTACCTGCATTATGCATCAAATACATAATGGAAATTATTCTGGTCATGGCAGGATGGACTTCAAGTACAGGGCATTTTTTAAAACAATTTTTCTTTCTTACCTAAGCCACCTGGTTCTACTTGTGGCTTCAAAAGCCACCAGGCTTATGTCTACCACCCCCTCAGGACCCAGTGCAGAGGCAGCAGCCTCAAAAGCACCCAATCCTTCTGTGAAAGAAGCCTGTTTATCTTAGAGTTTTGGCCTGAGAAACAGACTTCTAATTTAACACACAACTGAAGACCCACTGATAAGACTCTCCAAAGACTGTGGAGGCCAATGGGAGTCAACTTCATACTCCCCCTATGTCCCAAGTTGCCAGTGTCTCCAAGAAAGGAGCTTGTATACACATCTGGCACCCTGGCTTTTGTGTCTGATGCTCAAAGAACACATCCCTTGAGACTATGGCATGTGCGTGAGTTCATCAGGACAGTAGCAACCAGAGAAACACTTCTTAACTGTATCACCAAAGAGCTCGGCACAGAGGGAGCAGACAGAAATGCCCATCTCCCCATCTTCTCCTGGAAGAGATAAATCTGCCAACTTTAATAGTTGCTACCTGAAGTTCTGGTTTCCAACCAGCATGAATCTAAGTGCTGAGATCCTCCCCCTTGAGACACTGAAAGGTCTTGGCACACCCTCCACTACTGGGAGCTGCAAGAATGAAGTAGGCTGCTCAGTCACAGAAATTGAGAGACAACCAAGAGTTCATAAGCCAGAGGAGAATGAAAGATGTGGCTTTTTTATCTAAGGCTTAGAAACCAATACAGAGAATAGATCAAAATGAAGAAACAGGAATATGCTCCAAGGAAAAAAAAGAAGATAAAATCCCAGAAAAAGACCTTAATGAAATAGTGAGAAGTGATTTACCTGACAGATCAAAACAACACGGATAAAGCTGTCCACTGAATTTAAGAGAGTGACACATAAACCAAATGAAAATCTCAACAAAAAGAAAATAAAAGTACCTAATAAAAGTGACAAAGTTGGAGAATACAATAACTGAATAGAAAAATACTACAGAGGAGTTGAACAGTGCACTTGAAGACACAGAAAGAAAGGATTCATGAACTCAATGACAGGTCAGTGTAACTTATCCAATCATAACAGCAAAAAGAAAAAAGATTGAAAAATAGTGAAGATAACTTAAGGGACTTGGGGACCCCATAATGTGAATATTGGTCTGCTTGATGTTGTCCAGGAAGAGGAAGAGAGTAACAGGTAGAAAATGTATTTAAAGAATAATGGCTGAAAACTTCCCTAACCTGGAGAAGGAAACAGGCATGTAGATCTAGGGTGCCCAGAATAATAAGAGGAACCCAAAGAGATTAATCACAATATATCTCAGTGCTAAAGTGTCAAAAAAAGGGAGAGAAGCTTAAAAACGGGGGGGGGAGCTTTTTATGTACAAGGGGACCCCCCCACCATGAAACGGTCAACAGATTTTTCAGCAGAAATTTTCCACACCCATAGAGACCTGCATGATAAACATGGGCATATCTCATTTTGTTGTGCTTCACAAATACTGCATTTTCTAACAATTGAAGATTAATGGTGATTTGCTAAACAAGTCTATTGGTGCCATTTTTCCAACATTTGTTCACTTTGTGTCACATTTAGGTAACTCCTGAAATATTTCAAACTTATTCATTATTAAGTGTCATGGTGACCTAGGATCTCTGATGTTATTCATACTTGTTCTAGGGTGTCACTAACCACACCCACATAGGAAGGTGAACTTAAATGTTTGTATTCTGACTGCCCCACCAACTGGCCATTCCCCCATCTCTTTCCCTCACCCTGTTCCCTGAGACACAGCAATAGTGAAATTAGGCCAGTTTATAAGCCTACAATGGCTTCTAAGTGTTCAGTGATAATTCAGCTTAGTGAGGATGGCATGGCAAAATCTGAAACAGGATGAAAGCTAGACACTTTACACAAAATAGTTAGCCAAGCAGTGAATGCAAAGGAAAAATTCTTGAAGGAAATTAAAGGTACTACTCCCATGAACACACAAATGATATGAAAGCAAAACAGCCTTATGGCTGATGTGGAAAAAGTTTTAGTGGTCTGGAGAGAAGATCAAACCATCCAAAGGATTAAGCCAAAGCCTCATCCACAACAAGGTTCTAGAGCTCTCCTTCAATTCCATGAAGTCTTAGCGAGGTGAGGAAGCTACAGAAGACAAGTGTGAAGCTAGCAGAGGTTTAAGGAAGACACCATCTCTATAACATCAAAGTGCAAGATGTAGCAGAAGTGAGGATGTAGAAGCTGTAGCAAGTTATTCACAAAATCTACCTGAGATAATGAAGTTAGCTACCCTAAAGAGATTTTCAATGTAGATGAAATAGCTTTCTATTGGAAAAAAGGATGCCATATAGGGCTTTCATAGCTAGAGAGGAGAAGTTAATGGCTGACTTCAAAACTTCAAAGGACTGACTGACTCTTTTGTTAAAGGCTAATGCACCTGGGGACCATAAAGTTGAAACCAATGCTCATTTACCATTATGAAAATCTTAGAACCCTTAGGTATCATGCTCAGTCTACTCTGTGGTCTATAAATGGAACAAAAGCAGGCTGAACACACATCTGTTTACAACATGGTTTACTGAATATCTTAGGTCCACTGTTGAGACTTGCTCAGAAAATAAGATCTCTTTCAAAATATTACTACTCATTGACAATACAGCTTGTCACCCAAGAGCTCTGATGGAGATGTACAAGGAGATCAATGTTTTCATGCCTGCTAACACAATAACCATCTGCAGCCCATGGATCAGGGAGTCATCTTATACTTCAAGTATAATTATCTAAAAAATACACTTTATAAGGCTATAGCTGCCAAAGATAGTAAGTCCTCTGATGATCTGGACAAAATAAACTGAAAACTATTCTAGATGCCAATAAGAACATTCATGATTCATGGGGAAATGCCAGAACATCAACATTAACAGGAGTTTGGAAAAAGTTGGTTCCAACCCTCATGGATTACTTTGAGGGGTTCAAAACTTCAGTGGAGGAAGTCATTGCAGAGAAGATGGAAGTAGAAGAACTAGAATTAGAAGTGGAGTCTGGAGATGGGACTGAATTGTTGCAATCTCATGATAAAACTTGAACAGATGAGGAGTTGCTTCTTATGGATGAACAAAGAGAGTGGTTTCTTGAGATGGTATCTACTCCTGATGAAGACACTGTCAAGATTGTTGAAGTGAAAACAAAGGATTTAGAATATTACATAAATTTAGTTGATAAAACAGCAGAGCAGGGTTTGAGAGGAATGGTTCCAATTTTGAAATTGGAAGGTCTACTCTGGGTAAAATACTATCAAACAGCATCACATGCTACAGAGAAATCCTTCATGAGAGGAAGAGTCAATCACTCTAGCAAACTTCACTGTAGTCTTAAGAAATTTCCCCAGTTACCTCAACCTTTTGCAATCACCACCCTGATCAGTCAGCAGCCATCAATGATTACTACTCCCTGAAAGTTCAGATAATGATTAGCAATTTTTAGCAAAGTATTTTTAAATTAAACAATTTTTACATACACTAGGAAACAAAAAAACTCATTTTACTTGTATTGTGATATTCAATTTATTGGGGTCATCTGGAACTGAACCCATAATATCTCTGGAAATTAAAAAAAAACTGCCAACCAAGATATCTTGCCCTGCAAAAGTGTCCTTCAGAACACTCAAGGACACTGGAAGTTTTCCAGACAAGCAAAAGCAAAAGAAGTTATCACCTCCAGACCCACCTTTCAAGAAACAAAGTTGTTCTTTAAGCCGAAAAGAAAGGGTGACAATATATGAAAGTATAAATCTCATGGGTAAAGATAAATATATACTAAAATTCAAAATAATGTATGTTATAAAGGCAGTGGATTAATTGCTTATAAAGCCAATATGAATGTCAAAAAACAAAAACAAAATAACCATACACATATATGTTAATGGATCAAAAGATTGTGACATCAAAAACAAAATGGAAGGAAAGAGTTAAAGTGTAGAGCTTTAGAATGCTATCGAAAATAAGTTCTTATGATCTTTAAAACAGACAGCTGTACATGGCTTTATATAAACTTCATGGTAATTACAAAGCAAAAACCTATAGTAGATACACGAGATAAAGGTCTCTAAGCATACCACTATAGAAAATTATCAAATAACAAAGAGAGCAAGAAAAGAAAAAGGAATAGAAGAATTACAAAATAACTGGACAATTAACAAAATGACAATAAGTACATGTCAATTATTAAAGGTTAGTGGTCTAAAAGTTTCAATCAAAAGACAAAGAATGGTTTTAATGGATCAAATGCATGACCCATCTATATGCCTACCTATTAAGAACTCACTTCAGCTTCAAGAACACACCACAGACTGAGGGTGAAAGGATGAGAAATTATATCCATGCAAATGGAAACTAAAGGAAAGCTGAGGTAACTATGTTGTCAACAGAAAAATAGACTTTAAGAGACAGGCTAGTAAACACAGATCATGATATAGTGATATAGTGATCAATTCATCAAA